ATCTGTGATAATGAAGGACTCTTGCCATTATCTCGTGTGTCAAGGGGAGTTACTGGAGGGTTTTCCATGGGTTCTCTGGTCATTCTAGGACTCTAGCCCTCTAGTAACATTAACTCAAGCCTTTTGCTTGGAATTACTTGAGATATTTCATCAAGTAGGCAATGCTTGTAGCTTCCTTGAAGAGAGCAAATTAATACAGTGGTTCAGGAATAAATGTGGGGACTAAGACAAACTAGTATGTGAAGGGCGTACATTTGCATCAAGAGAACCATGAGTGGTTCCACCTCAGACAAAGAAAGAGCAAAACAACTCCAAGTAAAGGCAAAGATATTTCAACAGGTAGGTTAAGGAAATGAGTTGGGGACAAAAAGGACCGCCAAGTTTTCTAGCAGAATATGTGGAAACCAAGTTATCTCGAGTCTTTAGAAAAAGGAAAGTAGGGGTAGATGGATTTCCTGCTCTTTTCCTTTTTTTGGATACATCTTTGCTGTCTTGATGTATCCAAGCTGTCTACTTCAAGGCATAGCACTCATAAGTTGGGATGCATCTTTGCTCTCATATTAGTTTTTGAATTAGCAATACTTAAAGCAGTAAAATATAATTAAATTTATTAAGGAACTGAGGGCTCTTTTCCCATATCTGATTAGTCTTGTTAAAGTATCATGGACAGTAGAAAGCCAGACTGCCTTAACTTCTGTGAGCCTCACTCTTCTCATATGTGAAATGTTCTTACATTACAGTGCAGTTGGACAATTAAATGAGAAAATGTGTAACAGCACACATTTTCCCTGGTGTGTACTAGAATTAGTAGTTTTTTAAAATGGCTCTTTAGTTAAGAGAATATAAGGTTTGGCCAATTGTTCTTCGTAGAGCTGATTTGAATTCCTTATTTCTCAGACTATAAATCACTGGATTGAACAATGGGGTAAGGATGGTATAGGATACAGATATTAGGGTGTCTTGGCCTGAAGAGTAATTGGTCTTGGGTCTTAAGTAGATGAAAGAGGCACAACCGTAGTGAACAGTTACCACAATGAGATGGGAGGCACAGGTGGAGAAGGTCTTGTATCTCCCAACGGCAGAAGGGATTTTTAGAATGGCAGAGATGATGCGGACATAGGAGACTAGAATAAGTAGCAGAGGAATAACCAAGACAAATACACCAAGCATAAATATGACTAGCTGACTGAGGCCAGAGTGCTGAGATGCCAGTTTAAGGACAGGGGAGATGTCACAGAAGAAGTGATGGAGCTGATTTGAGGAGTGGAAGGGCAGATGAAATATTAGGGAGGTGGTGACCAGGGAGACAGCAAAGCCACAGGCACAGGCAGCAGCCACTAGTCCCATGCACACCCCATGTCCCATGAGCACTGTGTAGCGTAGTGGGTTACAGATAGCCATGTAGCGATCATAGCCCATGGCTGCCAGCAGGAAGGAGTGACAGCAGCCAAGGAAGAGGAAGGAAAACATTTGGATGGCACAACCCATGAAAGAAATGGTCTTCTTCTGGGCCAGTAGATCAACCAGCATCTTGGGTACAATGACGAAGGTGTAGCAAGTCTCAGAGCAGGAGAGGATGGCAAGGAAGAAGTACATGGGAGTGTGAAGGGCTCTGTCCAGCACAATGGTGGAAAGGATGATTGCATTGGTGCCCAGAGTGAACAGGTAGAGGAGCAGGAAGATAACAAAGAGCAACTCCTGCAGCCTGGCCAGGGATGAGAAGCCGAGGAAGACGAACTCTCTCACCACAGTCTCATTGACCCGCTCCATGGAAAGTACTTCTATACAAGAGAGTCAGGGGCAGAGGTAGAAGCCAGGATCCAGAAAGGAGAGCAAAAATGTACGGGAAACTTCACACCAAGTTTGCAGATGGCAGGCATTTCCAGATATTTGGTGGGATTCTTCATTTCCCTCATTAAAATGTCTGCTAAAAGAAGAATTAGGTGAAATATGCAAAAGAATAACTGACAACCTGTTTGGAGGCCTTTTCTAATGTGAAGAACAGGTTATCTCTCTGTCCAAGAATTAGGAAATTTGCTAATAGTTTTCCTTCTTTTCTTTCTTATGTAACGTGTAGATTATTGTTTTTCTCGTTCACTGTAAAGCCAAGGCAACTCACCTTCCAAAGTGAAGAATGTTAACTTCAGCTACCTGAAGCTGATCAGAACATAGAATGAAAGAATGAATAATGTTAAGACATAACCACGTGGACATTAGTTTATCCAACCATAAAATGAGAAAGGAGAGAAAGTATTTGATGATCTCTAAGTAAAGGTGTGAGGACACATGCATTTATTGGGAATTTTTTATATCTCCAAGAGAAGGCTAAGAAATACTATTGGACGTTCCACAAGTCGAAACATTGAGTCAAGAGTGAAACAAAAAATAACATTAGGCAGAAGCGGTGGCTCACAGCTGTAATCCCAGCACTTTGGGAAGCCAAGGTGGATGGATTGCTTGAGGCCAGGGGTTCGAGACCAGCCTGGGCAACACGGCAAAACCTCATCTTTACTAAAAATGCAAAAATTAGCCAGGTACGGCAGCACACGCCTATAATCTCAGCTACTCGGGAGGCTGAGGTGTTAAAATTACTTGAGTCCGGGAGGCGGAGGTTGCAGTGAGCTAAGATTGCACCACTGCACTCCAGACTGGGTAACAGAGTGACAATCTGTCTCAAAAACTAAAAAAATAAATAACATTAGTACATTAGCATACAGAAAAAAATTCTTTTTTCAGGAAGAGAACAATCACCAGGGTATTAAAGAGAGATGATTGACTGTGGCATTTTCCAACACACTTCACTTTTCCATGCTAAGAGAACATGGAGAAACTCAGAGAAAAAAAGAGCTTTCTAGAAATGACAGAGCTTGCCACAGGGTGTGGGCAAGAAAGGCGCACTGCCGTAAACCTTAGGCTTTGTATCTTTTATATATTGTTATGTTAATAAGATTTCATTTGAGCATTCTGCCACTAAAAATACTTTGCAAACTGCTATAACAAGTTATTTCTAAAGTCATCTTAGGCCTAATGTTTTCATGGGAACATTTTTCAATAACCCATCCAAATAAGTAAAGAAAGTGCTGTCTGCATAGAAAATCACCCGGTATGTATTTTGGTGTCCAGTCTTCATTCTGTGCTTCTGAAGTTACCATATCATTTTGTGTTGGGAAATTGTTGCCATCTGCTACCAGAATTTTGTTATTGTTACTTTTGCATTTTTCTAGTCAAGAGCAACTTTTTTTGTTTTCTGAACCCTAAGTCAATTCAGCAAGCATTTCTGAAATTCATTATATCTATTCATAGAATTTGTAAATGATGTTTTTTCCTTCTTACTTATTAGAAACTCTTTCTAAACTTAGTTGACATACTTATTTTAATAATGTTAGTATAACTATAAAGATATCACTATTATGTATAAACATAGAAAAAGTAAATACAATGTATACCTCCATTTATATTTGTATGTATGAGTGTGTGTGTGTATTAGTTATATGTTTTTATATACAGAAGGGTAAAAGTTTCACTATATAATAGCTCCTTCTCAACAAATGAATTCCTGTATTTTCAAAACAGTGAGGAAATCTAAACTTACGGTCATTGCTTTGCCTTATCCTCATCACTTTCCCAAAAGACTTTCATTTGAATCTTCTTTCAACTAATCAACCTCTAACCACCACTAGGCCCTCACTCAACTGAATATGATGTATAATGTAGACCATGGAAACTAGAATTATCTGATTCTGAAGGACTACCTGTATGTAACCAATACCAAAGAGAATTGTTCGGATTATTTTTTTCTCAGACACATGAGGCCAGCTGATTCTAGTCCAGTGGATTTTTACATAGTATTAATATAAACCCACACCACCTAGATGAATCGTGTGAGTGATATAACTGTGTTTTTATGATCTAGGGATTCAGCTCCATGGTGCATCTGAGAAGGCAGCTTCTATCCACTTAAGAAGCCATTAGGGACCACCACAGTGTGTTGTCATCTGTACTGACAGGAAGACCTAAGACCAGGAAAATAAAAATTCTCATCCTGACACATACCTTCAAGCTATAAAACAGAGATGAAAGGTCTTCAGTATGACGTGAAAAGGGTTAGCTTTCAGGTCTAGTTTGGTGTGACTTTAGATGAGATACCTGAATTCAATATTTAGATGTTTTTAATTAAAGAGATAGCATAAACAATAATGAAATAAACTGCTGGGATACATGGAAGGCACTAAAGCAGAGGATCCCCGAACATTTTACAGACGGGTTTTGACTGAGATGGTAGCCAAGTACTGTGACCTCTAGGAGGCTTTCCTGCTCAGAGGATCAAAGACTCTCTAGTTAGATGATCTCAAAATCCCCTTAAGGGTCATATTTTAGAACCTATGAATAGAATTCAGGCTGTGATCCTTGGAGATGGTACTTCAGTGTTTAATTTTTCTCATTCCTCAGATGTTCCACTGGGATTTTTTGTAATCTGGATTTAAATAGAGACATAATACTTGAGGTTGCTGGGTTCCCCCCAGCAGAAGGCAATATACAGAGTTTTCACATGTAAAACTTTTAAGAAATACAAATATTTATTTTGAGGAAAACATTAATCAATTAACTGAGAGAAATTATGTAGGCAGCCTCAGATAGTATAGGAGTTTTTAACTTCTTAGATACAAATAAAAATTTTTAATTTCTCCAGTTTGCCATATTAAAATGGAGTTGAAATACTAGAATTCAACTACAGCTAAAAGCATGCATCCAGGAATACACAGCAGAAAGGGAATTCGAAAAGTGAGAGAAGAGAGAGGAGTATCTGTTTCACTTAATCCATGAGTTCACCAGTGAATGAAAAAGAGGAGTAGAAAAGGAAGGAAGGAAGGAGGGGAGGGAGGGAGGGAGGGAGAGAAAAAGGAGGGAGGGAAGGAAGGAAGAAAATAAAATCTAGCTAGGTGTGAGACTAACGCAATATGATCATCGAGAACAATTCAGATAATTTTTTTTTTTTTCAGATGGAGCTTGGCTCTTGTTGCCCAGGCTGGAGTGCAATGGCAGAGTCTTGGCTCACTGCAACCTTCATCTCCAGGGTTCAAGTGATTCTCCTCCCTCAGCCTCTTGAGCAGCTGGGATTACAGGTACACATAACCATGCCTGTCTAATTTTTGTATTTTTAGTAGAGACAACATTTCACGGTGTTGGCCAGACTGGTCTCAAACTCTTGACCTCAGTGATTCACCTGCCTTGGCCTCCCAAAGTGTTGGGATTATAGGCATGAACCACCATACCCAGCCAAATTCAGAGAATTATAAAGTCCATTCTCAGTCACTCTTAGTATCTGCAGTGAAAGGTACCTTTGATTATCCTTTTTAACTCTGATGCTTACCAGTAATGTCATCCCTGATCTCCATTCGGGGCACAAAGAAAGGCTTTCTCAAACACTGCTCATCATTCAAGTCCAGGCCCCACAAAACCCCAAACTAGGTCAATGTTCCCACTGCTCAGTAAGTACTTACATTGCTTTCTCCCTTCTAATTTAGAGAAAAACAGTTATTCAGTATTTGAGGTCTCCTGACAAGTAGCATCAGAGCCACAGATCAGAGCCTCAGGAAAGAGAGGGAAGCTGCCTTGAGATAGAAACTCTCATCTGCATCAACAGAGCTTCCTCTATTCATCAGGACTCCCCAGTTCTCCTGATAAATTACCATGTTCAGAAGTTCTGATGACCAACATGGGCTGTGGTTATTAGAAGCATGCACTGTAATCACTGGACTCCTGAGGCTAGATCTACTGCCCCGGAGGCGTTGTCTTGAGGTTAATTAGAAGTCAGGTTTATTTTGGGAAAAGTAATGTCATTAGTTTCTCAAAGGTGACCTCAGTTGAGGAGACTGGGGAAGTGAAGCCATGAGCATAATTAGCCCATGTATGTTTTGAAAGTTGAGTCCATCTGTAATGGATTCTGAAGGAGAGCCCACCACAATTAAGACTGTAATGCAGCAGACCAAGTGGAAAAATTTTACTAAATTTTAAGTCAGAAGATTGATGAATTTGTCCAGTGACACTGAACTTTAGTGTTTCTAAGAATCAAAAGAGGGCTGAATTACAAATTTACTTTCCAGGCCCCTGCTCCCAGAAACCCTAATTAAGAACATTGAGATGTTTTACAAAAACCTAAAATTTTAGTAAATATATCAGATCTAGCTGAGCTCTATCATCAAATGGTGAGTTATGTTATGAATGTATTTTACCAGAATGATAATATAGAGTAGTGAGATTTATTCAAGCTAATCTATAAAGCCAATGTAATTCCAACCCAAATCTCTGCATACGTTTTGAAATCACCCTGACAATCAGATTTCCAAGATTTATATGAAAACATAAAACAATCTTGTAAAGGGCAAGGAATATAGGCACTCACTCTTCCCAGTAAAAATATGCTTTAGTAATAAAAAAGAGCATGCTATTGGTGCAGGAAGAAGTAAGTAGTATAGCAGCAGAAAGGAGAGCTCAGAAATTAATGTATGTGTATTTGAGAACTTGGTCTTTGGGAGAAATGACCTTACAAGTCAGCGAGATAATTATAATTACTTACTAAATAATACTGGGAAAGCTCTGTGTACTGCACCACTCAAAAGGAGGTGACCTGGTAGAATATGAAATGGTTTACTTGAGGCTCAGTTACTGCACTGGCTTTGTGCCAATACCTAATAGAGCCCCATGTGTCTGCCCAAAGAAGAATAGACTCTGAACCAGCAGCCAAAGGACTGTGTCCATTCTCTAATAACAAACACGTGTAAGTCTGAGAACCAATGTGAGGGGAGATGAAATGATTCCTTCTGTTATTACTCCTAATGACTTACATGCGTAAGTTTGAGCTTTGTGAAATAATACCTTTAAGAACATCAGAACTTCTGAAGATGGTGACTTATCTGGAGAATTGGGGAGTCTTGATGGTTAGAGGAGGTTCTGCTGATGCAGATGAGAAACACAAAAATGGAAATTGAGATGGCCATTTCAAATTAGACACTTCAGTCTACTTTGTCTTTCTGTTCCAGTAATCTCCAGACAAAAATGAATCTTGTATTTGAAAGAAAAATAGGGCATTGCCACTACACTACCAAGGCAGAAGAGCGTATGTCTAGAATCTAGATGTTCTAGGGCATTTTTTAAATATGCATGATATAATTTTTAAATTAATTTATTTTGTGATTGCATTTTAGGTTTTGAGGTACATGTGAAGAACATGCAAGATTGTTGCATAGATACACACATGGCAGTGTGATTTGCTGCCTTCCTCCCCTTCACCTATATCTAGCATTTCTCCCCATGCTATCTCTCCCCAACTCCCCACCCTCTGCTGTCCCTTCCCTATTCCCCCCAACAGACCCCAGTGTGTAGTGCTCCCCTCCCTGTGTCCATGTGTTCTCATTGTTCAACACTCACTTATGAGCGAGAACATGTGGTATTTCATTTTCTGTTCTTGTGTCAGTTTCCTGAGAATGATGTTCTCCAGATTCATCCATGTCCCTACAAAGGACATGAACTCATCATTTTTGATGGCTGCATTTTTCATTACTTCATATACAAAAGCAAAATTTAATAGAAGACTAAAGCAACCTAATTTAGGCAAAGTTACTAATGGCTCAAGCCCTTCAAAAATGTTGGGGTACAAAGTGAGTTCAAAAGAATATAAATAGGTGAAACTTTAAAAAATTATAAACATCAGTGATAGTCATGTTAATTTACAGAAACAAGGATTGCAGTAGCTGTTTTATTTTACTGCTTGTTTTATTACGTATATATGTCTACGTTGATCATTTTTCCACCTTGCCTTAACCTACTAGTTTATATAAGGTATGTTGATGGTGTAAAACATTATAATTCCATCTACAAAGAAAAGGCTATCAAATAATGTATTAACTTGTGGAACTCTGTGTTTCCTTTTTAGAGATAAATATGGGTACCTCTTTGTGTGAGGCATATTTGCATTAAATTCATTATTACCGTTTGGAAATTTAAACATGAACAGAAAGATGTGTGTGGATGGTGAATATCTAGAAGGGAAACCTGTGCTGACTCTGTTTTACTGGTACTTAGTATCATCCTTAAACTTCCAAGTTCTCTATACCACAATGTAGGAATAAAAATCCTGGACATCAGGCCGGGCGCGGTGGCTCAAGCCTGTAATCCCAGCACTTTGGGAGGCCGAGGTGGGTGGATCACAAAGTCAAGAGATCGAGACCATCCTGGTCAACATGGTGAAACCCCATCTCTACTAAAAATACAAAAAATTAGCTGGGCACGGTGGCGCGTGCCTGTAATGCCAGCTACTCAGGAGGCTGAGGCAGGAGAATTGCCTGAACCCAGGGGGCGGAGGTTGCGGTGAGCAGAGATCGCGCCATTGCACTCCAGCCTGGGTAACAAGAGCAAAACTCCGTCTCAAAAAAAAAATCCTGGACATCCTGATGTCTGCTTTCCATGTCACCTGGCCAAAAGGGTTTCACAAAGAAGGAGCATTCATGAAACATGTGGATGGGAGAAGAGGGAAGCCAGTTGTTTGGGGCAGCATGATATGCCAGCACTTATCAGATGATAGATGCGGACTTTTGCCTTTCAAGTTCTATCAGATAGATGTGGACTTATGCCACTTATCAGATGATAGATGTGGACTTTTGCCCTTCGAGTTCAGATTTCCTGAGAATCACCCATCAGCACTGCAGCAGCCAAGACCATCTCTGAGGGCTTCCTGTGATCCTTGCGATTCTGAAAATCAAGAGCAGCTTTCTTGACATCTATTCTCCTAGTCTTTCGATATGTATATAAGCTTCTACTTTCTCTATCAAACCTACTATTTTAAATTCTTAGGCAGCTTTCTATTTACTCTCAAAAAGTAACGATATGTAAACCTACCTCAATCTTTGCAATCAATGCTAGAGTTTTGATTTTTCTTGTCTATATTTGCAACAACTTTATAAATGCCATTTTATTAATTTTAATAACTTTCTCAGAGTTTGGGTAAATGAAATTATTTTTTGAGAAATTGCACATTACACACAAAATGAAATTGCTGAGTCAAAGTCTATTCTCATTTCAAATTTTAATATGCATCATGTTAGCACACTATCTCTACAAAGGCTATAAAACTTATACTTTCATTAACAATATGTGAAGATGCCAGTTCCTCCATAATGTATATAATGTTACCTTTAATCTTTTAAATTCTAGCCAAGATGAAATATAAAAATGATACCTTGATTCCATTTACAATTATTGGATTAGTAGTAGAAGTAAAACACTTTTTTTTTGGTGTTGTATGTAAGATTTTTTTAAATTGCATTTTAGGTCTTGGAGTACATGTGAAGAACATGCAAGATTGTTGCATAGGTACACACCTGGCTGTGATTTGTTGCCTTCCTCCCCATCACCTATATCTGGCATTTCTCCCCATGCTTTCTCTCCCCAACTCCCAAACCCCCGCTGTCCCTCTGCTATTTCCCCCCGACAGACCCCAGTGTGTGATGATTCCCTCGCTGTGTCCATGTGTTCTCATTGTTCAACACCTGCCTATGAGTGAGAACATGCAGTGTTTGATTTTCTGTTCTTGTGCAGTTTGCTGAGAATGATGGTTTCCAGGTTCATCCATGTCCCTACAAAGGACACAAACTCATCACTTTTTATGGCTGCATAATAGAGAAATGTAAATCAAAACCACATTGAGATACCATCTCATGCCAGTTAGAATGGCAATCATTAAAAAATCTGGAGACAACAGATGCTGGAGAGGATGTGGAGAAATAGGAACACTTTTACACTGCTGGTGGGAGTGTAAATTAGTTCAACCATTGTGGAAGACAGTGTGGCGATTCCTCAAGGACCTAGAAATAGAAATTCCATTTGACCCAGCAATCCCATTACTGGGAATATATCCAAAGGATTGTAAATCATTCTACTATAAGGACACATGCACACGAATGTTCATTGCAGCACTGTTTACAATAGCAAAGACCTGGAACCAACCAAATGCCCATCGGTGATAGACTGGACAGTAAAACACTTTTTTAAAAATTGTTATTCAACTTTTGAAAATTATCTATTTATTTTATTTTCCTATTACATTTTTCCTTTATAGATTTGAGAA